GGGGGGGGGGGGTTACTGTAGAGTGAGAACATGTTGTTATCAAAATACTGAGACAACACCACAGACTCAAGTGGACGTGAAGTCACATGTATGTGTTTCATAACATGAGTGAGCTCCACTGACTGTATGTTACGTCTAATGAAACATTGTTTGCTGTGTAATTACAGCTTCATCCACAGGTCAGGTTCCTCAACTGCTACAGTGTTTTATGTAAATGTTACCCACGCTCGACAAGCTCTCCTGTCGGCCACATACCAGTTTAAGAGTTGATTAAGCAGGTAGAGTTATCTTCTGTTGAGCAAGGAAATGTCTCTGTGGACTTAATTTCACCTTTCACAAAAAATGTCAATGTGTCTGAACAAAATCTGAATTATTTGTTGCTATGTATTTTTTTGTATTAAAATGTATTGTTTTTCAGTTACCAACTTTAAAAAAAAATAACAAAAAAAAAGATGATCAGCCAGGCTTCAACTTACAACTATTTTCATTATTGTTAAATTTTTTAGAGTTGTATATAATTCAGAGTTTGTCCGTAAAATGTCAGAAAATAGTGAAAAATAGTCCCAGAGCAGAAGGTGAGGTCTTCAAATTGTTTGTGTTGTCTAACAGTCCAAAACCCAAAGATATTCAAATTACAATGACATAGAACAAATAAAAGCAGAAAGCCCCTCACTTTTGAATGGCTGAAATCACAGAATGTTAGTTTGATAACTGACTTATTGAGTTATCAAAATTGTTGTAGATTAATTGTTTAACGATCAACTAATCGATTATTCGACTAATTGTTTCTGCTTCAGTTCATTCCAGTGACTGTGACTGTCAAGTCAACTAATGGATTGATTATTTCACTGCTCATGCTATGTAGAAGCTGGATAATGAACAAATGTGAAAAAAGTTTAAAGTTTTAAATGTCAACACCAATAACTGTAGCATCATTATACGAGATGAGACACCAGACTTCACTGTGGCACCGTGTGTATTGTGCTCTTCTACTGGGGCTACTGGGGTAACACTGTGTGTACGTGTGTGTGTTTAATTCTAGTGTACAAGTCACCGGAGTACGAGTCATTAGGTTTTGAGCTCACAGTGGAACGGCTGGTTTCCATTGGTTACCCCCAGGAGCTGCTCAGCTTTGTCTACGACCCATCCTTTCCCACCAGGTCAGACCACTCACACACACACAGACATTATGCTGATGATGATGGCGGCCAACTGCTGCTTTTATGGCCTTGTCTCTTATCACTTTAGTTCCTCTCAGTCTATAATGACAGTAACTGTAATTATATCACAAATGATGGCAAATTCAGATATTGTTTTTATGGTAGTTGGTAAGTTAGAGAAGTTGGTTTAATGTGGACTTATTTGTTTATTTCTTCCTGATTTCAGGGGCCTTGTGTTTGACACCATGTATGGAAACCTGTTGAAGGTTGACGCCTATGGTAATATCCTGGTCTGTGTCCATGGTTTCAACTTCCTCCGAGGGTGAGTTTGTCACCCCCCCCCCCAAACAATTTGTGCTATATGTCAAATTTAAATGATTTAAACTTAAACGAAGAATTAATCTTGTATTTTCTCTTTTCCCAGCCCTGAGATCCGTGAACGATACCCAAACAAGTTTATCCAGAGAGATGATACAGAGCGCTTTTATATCCTTAACACACTCTTTAACCTGCCAGGTAAGTTCTCTGAGCACTGAGGAGAATACTACTACTGTTAAAGAGAGAGCAAATTGGCAAGAAATCACATTATCCCGATTAAAAGCTGAATATTACTTTTATGGGAGTCTCCAGCAGAAACCTTTCAATTGTGTTAAAGACAAGTTTGACCAAGCTTTTCACTTCTGATAACATCTCCCTGTCTTTCTGTTTTTCTTCACAGAGACCTACCTCTTTGCTTGCCTGGTGGATTTCTTCTCCAACTGTGACCGATACACAAGGTGAAGAACTTTTAGTTACACTATCTGTCATGCAACAAGTTTCTGGGCACCACATGGTGACACAAAGACAGTTCCGAGCCAAACTGGGTCAAGAGCAAGCCCTACAGCATGGGAGGGTCCAGGTGTCTCAACTGCTAATCTAAGCTAATTGTTTTAAAGTGGAAATCAAATGGGAGTTCAGTCAAAGAACCCTTTTTTTTTCTATAACAGTGATTTATTAATCTCTTCTACTAATTGTAGAAAAGCATGGATTCTTCTCAGAATGAGATAGGAATGGATAATGTTCTCACTAACTTTTTACAGAGAAGAGAGAATGAAATCTTGATAACTATAAGATAATCTTTTAAATGTTACTGTAAGGAGATAAAATGACCTGTAAATTTGTTGAGAATGTAATCTGGAATGGCTGCATGTCTTTTGTCCTCTGAAACCTGGTTGTTGGTCTTTTAGGGGGAGAATGCTTTCCTGTTTGGCTGGGGACCCCTCCAACAAGGGAAGGCTATCCCATTTAAAAGCAAACAAAAAACAAATGTCATGTTTTTGAAAAACCTTCTGTAAATATGTGGCCTGTCCGACGGCTGTGTACGTGTGTGTCTCTGCTCCTCTCCTCCAGCTGTGAGAGTGGCTTCAAAAATGGCGACCTCTTCATGTCCTACAAGAGCATGTTCCAGGATGTCCGTGACGCCGTCGACTGGGTCCACTTCAAGGTAAGACCACTGTGATGGTTGGGATTTTAACCTCAGTGTGTTATCACGCTGATGCATACACTGGCTTCACATTCATGCCTGGATGCTGTTCAATTTAACCACAGCCTGTAATGCTTCTGTCTAGACATGAATACTTTCAGTGCTGATGGCAAATTGGCCTTTAGACTTATACAAGCAGCCAACATTAAGTTTGCTTTTTACACCTGCAGTTTGGCTCATTTGGTCTGAGTTAGGCATGGGATGATTTCACGTTACTATTATCCTGAACAAAATATTCCAATTCACTATATTATCGCGATGAACATCAAAATGGCACTAAAACATACTGTATACTACTACTATACATACTGTATATACATATCTCTTCACCTTACGTTTAGTTAAGAAACAAACATTTGTCAGTCTTTAGTCTGGAATCCATAGTAGTTTCAACCATTCCGGTTTAACTCGTTTCTGTGGGGAACATTACGTACAAGCCGAGCCATCAGCCTTGACAGGCCTAGGATTTTGGAGTGACTAAATGGAATGAAAAAAACTGTACGTTAGCAAGCTAGATAGCTTTTTCAATTCACTCATGTGAGGATATTAACAATTATCCCGATAATGGAAGTTCACAACAATATACTTATATCTCAGAGTTTTTTATGACTGTACGCTACGATAGTACGATAGTATTATATATCGGTATTATCCCTAGTCTGGATCAAGGAAATATTTTAAATTTTTACTAGAGCTGTAAGTTGGAAGTGGAGGTAAGATCAGGATTTGTTTGTTTCGTTATGTTTAGGTTAGGAATAGGCCAAAAAAATCTTTTTATATATAAATATATTTAACATGGAACGATCCTGTGGTCGTATTTGTTTGTTGTCTCCCGGTGTTTTCACTCATCATTCATAGCTAGCCAAGTCCTCTGTTGATTCCTTAACCCAGCATTAAATAATCAATGATTGAAGCACAGTTATCAAGACAACTTGTCAAGCAAACTAGATGGTGGCAATAGGCCAAATGGCACAGAGTCATCAAAGCCATAAATAGTCGCCCTCTGTGGCTATTAATATCCAAAAACCAGCCATCTAAAATATCTGTGCTGAACATATATTAAGTTGTTGTCAGAGCAAGGGATGTTCTGGTGGCCCAGTGGTTGGGATGTGCAATTTATTTGTTCTACGTGCACTGGAGATGTGTACATATGTAGGTAATCCTTTAATTTTTTATTTTTTGCAATGCATGTAAAGTTGTGTTTAGAGTTGTTTTGTATTAACATTAAATCTATCACTGCTGTTATCAGTGCTGCTCATCCTGTACAACCCACAGCTGAAGGCCACAAGTCCTCGTGTTCTGTGTGGGTTGTCTCTGACGACTGTTCCCAAATTATTGCTGAATGAAATGACTAATATTGATGCTGCTAACTTAAGGAGGTGATGTTTCTGAAGATTGTGTGGTTGAAATGTAGATTGTCAAGTCTGTCTCCTGTGTGTCACATTGTAGGGCACTCTGAAGGAGAAGACGGTTGAGAACTTGGAGAAGTATGTAGTGAAAGATGTAAGTAGTTTGTATTCATCAAGGTTGCTACAGAGCGCGCACACATACACAGTGTCACACATTTTTGTTTTACTCTGAGAAGAGTAAAACAAAAATGTGAAAAGAGGTTTTGTAAAGATGCTTAGAGCTTCAGTCTTTTTCTTTCTTTGTTTATTCTCTGATCCCACCAGGGGAAGTTGCCTCTTCTCCTCAGCCGAATGAATGAAGTCGCCAAGGTTTTCTTGGCTACCAACAGTGACTACAAATACACTTATGTGAGTACAGGCATGCAGTAATGGTAGAATCTTCATTTCTGAGGGGAAAACAGTATTAAGTCCATTTAAAGACCACAGTGGTGATACAGATGATGATGAATTAATGCTGAGTTCCATTTCTAAGAGCTTCTACCTGTGTGTTGGCAGCACTAGCAGCTGCATTAACTCTAATCACCGCTGTGTTTGGTTTGACTGTCAGTCTGTGTTGTGTTCTCACAGAAAATCATGACCTACCTGTTTGACTTCCCTCATGGCCCGAAGGTAAAATATAGTTTTTCTTCCCCTTTGATCGCACTTGGAATAGTTTTGAATACACAGGTGAAGCTGAGGTTTTCCGTTCATATGTGTATGTGTGACTTTATTGCTTGTGTGTGTTTGTAACCCCCACAGGCTGGTACCTCCCACCGGCCCTGGCAGTCCTACTTTGATCTGATCCTGGTGGACGCCAGGAAGCCGTTGTTCTTCGGAGAGGGTACAGTGCTCAGACAAGTCGACACGGTGAGCAGACACACAACACACAGATAAGACTTTGCTAATAGCTGCGCTGCATGTGAACACTGACGTATCTGAACATGTTGCAGCCCAGCAGCAACGGCAGCACATAGAGGAACCAGTTCAGTAGTCACCATTTAAAAAAAAACGTGTTCGGACCATTGTCAGCACAACTTACGATGTCGATCAGGATTGTCCATCATCTCTACAATTACATGCTCTGTAGGTTCTGCTGACGATGGCTCTATGACCTAAACATTCATACTCGTCACATAATTTATATTATTATATTTAAAATAAAAAGGTTTTACATACTGGATGCACCCTTCAGGGTTTACCAAATCAATACAAATCTCTGTTTGTGCCAAGGTTCCTCTCACCAATGTGATATGTTTTCTTCCTTTCAGACAACAGGACGTTTAAAGATAGGAACCTACACAGGACCTCTGCAGCATGGTATAGTCTACTCTGGAGGTAAGACTCTAGTTTCCTTCAGTCATTCTTTGACCTAGTGTTGAGTTGTGTGCAGTCGTTGTGATTGACAAGCTTGTAATGTCACGTCATTCTCCTTTAGGTTCCTCAGACATTGTGTGTGACCTGCTGGGGGCCAAGGGGAAGGACATAGTCTACATCGGGGACCATATCTTTGGAGACATCCTCAAGTCCAAGAAACGTCAAGGCTGGAGGACGTTCCTGGTTATACCGGAGTTGGCCCAGGAGCTGCACGTGTGGACTGACAAGAGCTGTGAGTCTGTAGACACACGCATAAACACAGGCCTGCACATAGTAACATGCAGCTATAGCAGTTTGACTGTATGTGCATTTCCAAGTACTGCAGTCCTAATCACATTAGATGTATGTTATAAAGATCATATAACCAGTTGGTTCAAAGTCAAAACACACTGGATATTTACACTAGGGCTAACTAACGCTAGAATACTGTATATGCACTGTAAATGGTGTTTGCACACTAGTAGCGAGGATATTAAGGTTCAGCCTCTTCTCGTGTTTTCCAGCCTTATTCGAGGAGCTACAGGGGCTGGATATTTTCTTGGCAGAACTCTACAAGTAAGTCATGACCTTTAGCTTATTGTTCCCAGCAGTTCAGCTGCTCTTTGCTCTGTGCAGTAACATCGTCTGTTTGCATGCATGTGAGCGTGTGTTTGACAGGGGGTCAACAGGGTAAAGTCTAAAGGGTCAGCTCTCTCTGGCCGCCTGATAGCTGCCGACGCTGATGTTAGTTATAGCCTGGTACGATCTCGCTGTTGCATCCACCTCTTTGACACGTTACCTTTCAGCAGACTGATATCAGTATCCCTTTCTCGTCCTCATCATCTTTCTCCCCGTCCTTCCTCAGACATCTGGACAGCAGCAGCAACGAGAGGCCAGACATCAGCACTATTCAGAGAAGAGTCAAGGTATGGCCTTAATCACCTCTGTTTCTATGGCAACAAGAGACCTGTCCACATGCTTTCAACACTGGCTGCCAGAGACGGCCTACTTATCAATGGCCATGTTTACAGTATGTTTGATACAGTGTCTACTATAGTCTTATCATTAACAATAATCCACTTCCTCATTGTTCTCTCAGTGCCTGGTGAGGTAACTGCTGATTCAGTTGTGTCAATGAACAACTTCAACAACGCCCCTGATAAAGATACTATACTTACTAGGGTCAGGATAGTAAATCCTTTTTAGAAGTTGGTAAACATATCTTATTTTTTTGGCATGGATTTTGCAGGCTCACCAGTGTCTTCTCTTTTCCTTCCTGCCTTTTTAGAAAGTGACACACGACATGGACATGTGCTACGGCATGATGGGTAGCCTCTTCCGCAGCGGCTCCAGACAGACCTTGTTTGCCTCTCAAGTGATGCGTTACGCTGACTTGTACGCAGCCTCCTTCATCAACCTGCTGTATTACCCCTTCAGCTACCTCTTCAGAGCTGCACACGTTCTGGTGAGTATCTATCACCCTCAAAGGTTAGAGACAATACCAGTCTTTGGTGTACTGATGCAGATATGATAAGAAAGAATAAGTCTTGTCTCATTCCAGTAAAGATTATAAAACTTCTATAAATCTATAGACATTTCTTTGGGTCTAAAGTGTGAAAATGAAGGAAAATCTAGGGGCGTGAACTTGCAGACCTCTGTGGCCCATAGTGGCTCAAGGCCGCTACTAGCATAACACTGAACTGAACTGTCTGAATGTAATCAATATCTTTGTCTGTCAGGAGTCTTAGTGCAGTCAATGACTGTTATTTCTCTTACTGGTATTGATCAAGCTCAATCTGCGGCTGAGGGCGAGTGATATTCGCTTTCTTTCTTTCTTTATAATCTCTGAATCTGGCACCAGAGGGCGGTGAATGAAGATCATAGCTTTTTACTGATGAAAGCCCTATTCAGAAACTCTGGTTAAAGAAAGACACACCTCTTCCAGTAAGTCCGTTAGTGTTGCCAAGTTGTTTTCTCACATTTTGTCTTTCCTCCTCCCCAGATGCCACATGAGTCGACGGTTGAACACGCCCACGTGGACATTGACACGGAGTCGCCGCTGGCCACACGCAACCGCACCCACTGCAGCGACTGCAAGGACCTGGAGTGCAAACGCAACCAGCTCACCCGCTCTTTCAGTGAGATCAAACCTCCCAACCTGTTCCCCCAGACTCCGCAGGAGATCACTCACTGCCACGATGAGGATGATGATGAGGAAGAGGAAGAGGAGGAGGAGGAAGAAGAGGAGGAGGAGGAGGAGGAGGAGTAATACGCATAAAGAGGAAAGCCACGTTCCTGTTCCTGCCTTCTTATGTTTCCCAGTAGAGTCAGGTAGTTACCTCTCTCAAAGTGAGGCAGAGAGGAAAAACATCTCCAGTGCGTGTGTGTATATATCCATACTGTATGCACACAAACACTCACACACACACACACACATACTGGAGATTTCTATGGAAAGTGAAAAGGACCAGTAGCAAGACAGATCATATGACTGTCAGAAGACCATATGCATGCTTGGTCCTCTAAACCCAAGTTTTCCTAGCTTCATTATAGAAAAATACACTCTATGGTTTTTAATTGATTTAATTTGATTTCTGCATTATTCCCGTCAGACAGACTCATCGCTGAATGTTTTATAAGCTGACTTTTAAGACCTGCTGGTGGATTAGATAGATGTAGTCACATTTACACTTAAATCCATCCAATATGGTCAGTAAACTGTAGTTTTAATTCCAACAGACTTGCCTTGCTGACACAGTATGCAAATTATAATCAAACAAAAAACACTTTGCAGTTGCGGTGTCAAAAAAAAAAGAGAAAAAAGAAAAGATGCACATACTGTATTAAAACAGACATTTTTTACTGCAACATGGGAACAACATTCATATTTTTTTTTTCAATCTGTTTAGTTTCATCTTGTCTGTTTTCTTGTTGTTATGGAGGAGTGCTTTGTTCTAACTTGTATGTAAAGGTGTGCGCGCGTGTGTGTGTCTGCCAAAATAGACAGCATCCTGAGTGAGGGTAAACTATCCATCGTACTAAACCGAAGCACAGGAGCACTGAAGCACAAGCTGGCGTTAAACCAATCAATAACCAGATGCATTTTTTGTGTGAAGTTTGGCTGAGGAAACATGTTGTGTTCCCAGAGTGGCTCTTCAACTGATATTTGGTTACCAAGCAACAATGAGGACAAAGTACTGTAAACATATTTTATGCTGATAGACTCTATGACAACCCTGAACTACGACAGTGTTTCTGTAAATAGCGATCAGGTGAATGGTTTAACGCTAACATGCAGTATTTTTTCCACTCGGTTATTTAGGAAGATGGAACTCGAGTATTTCATTTGACTATTTCAGAGCGCTTTATTGTGGTAGGGGAGATGAACAATACAACACAGTTTGGATCAGCTCAAGCAGAGATGTTTGAAGTGATCTTTGTCAGGTGTGTAATGCAAAGAAAAGAGTATGCAAGGAAACAAGGATTTTTAGGTTCAGTAGGTCTACCGAAGTGCAGACTGTGATTGGCCTGCTTCGTTTATCTCCTTTAGTTTTTGGGCTTTGTTGGGCGTTCGTTTAATCTGCCGACCTCCAATTGTTGGCATCATCCGCTGGGGGTAATCGTGTTAGCAGAGAGCGTGGGGTTGAGTGCGTACAGTATTCTTCTGTTGGGCCCCGAGCACTGTGAAGTGACTCTTTCATTATAGTGTCGGTTCTAGCTGTGATCACTAGTTTAAAGCCTCTTTATTATTAATAATAGATATTAATAATAAAAATAGGCACCCTGACAATTTAAAAAAAAGATTTATTTTTGTTATGTATGAAGAGTTTACGTCTCAAAAACTCCTAGTTAACCTGCTTCAGCAGCAGTGTGTCGGTGTGGTTTGACTGAACTGACATTAAGTGTGTTTCCATACCCCTGTTTTGATGTGCATTTTCAATTCTGTGCCCCCCAAAAAAAGATCCTGAGTAAAAATGCAATGTATTTATTTTAAAAAAAGTCCAAATATGCTTTAAAAGTCTTTACTCTTGGTTGAAGTGGAAAGTTGGTGTATCAATAGGAACAACAAGGGGACAAAGTGCTAAATTACGCATAAATGATGACTAAGAATTGCAGCAGACAACAACATTAAATGAATACATGAAACAAACCTAAATGACAATATTTCCATCATGTTTCCACATCATTTTTGTTCATCTGAAGTTTGAATGGCACTCTTTTAATTACGATACTTCGTTGCACCTTCTTCTTCTGCAGTGGTGGCACCTGAATCTCAATCTCAATAAACCAATGAACTAATATTCTCAAAACGTGCAGTAATTTGCATTTTCCTTTACCTAATTTTTGTAAACCGCTTTAAAATTCATATGGAAACTGTCTCGTGACCAAACAACACCGCCCGCAACTGCCATCAGATTTTCATTCAAATGTTGCTTTTCCCAACGGAGCCCCGCCCACTTCAAACTAGTGAGAAGAGCACAGAGAAAAACACAGACTCTGCTATCTCTAATGTGAAATAACAAAAACAGTGCGTTCATGTAAGACCCCATCGTCCATAGCGAGACGCTCATGGAGAACCGCTTTCAGGGCCTTTAACCCAGGTATCACTTGTGTCTGTTTTAACACGTGTGTCCAAATGCAGCAGTGCAGTGCCGGTATAGTAATAGCACCGAGAGAGCTGCCAGAATTTCAAACACGGTGACTTGATCTTTTATTTTCTTTCCTATTTTAACATCCAGTGCATCCTGTATGTTAACATTTCTCACCTTTTATATTTAGTCTTCATATGTTGGATCAGTCCTGTAAGTGTTAGATCGGCCTGTTGATTTAGGCCACAAAAGGGAAGGAACATGCCGTCTATTTAATACCTGCATCATTTTTGCTTTGGCTTGATTTGGTGTGGACAAAAGGTGAATGTGTCTAACTGCGACTTTATGATGATTCATTGGATGAAACCTTGTAGGACACATTACAGCTGTTTATCTTTTATTTTTTCTATTCTTTTTTTTCTTTTTTACAAATGAAATAGTTGTATTATCAATTTATATTTTAGTTTCTTGAACATAGAATAACTGGATATGCTACATGAGGCAGCTGCGTTGCTAATAGGAAATGGCCGACTGTCTTTTCTTTGCATAATTTGCGTATGCATGTGAAAATAACAAGCATATCTGTTCTGCCAAGGTGGTTTATGGTAGCATTGGTTTTACTTCTATGTGGGCTCATTTCAGAAAAAGCTTTTTTTTGACATTTTAGTAGTTTACGCAGGGACAAAAACAACTGCAAACCTGTACAAAAGAAACTTGCAATGAAGGGAAATGTTAACAGCATGTTAAGTTCCGTAACAAAAATGTTCCCTGCAAACACCATTGGGTTATTTTTATTTTTCTAAGCTAGTGTTTTTAAATGGTCCTGGTTTACAGAACTGTAAATAGACATTTCCATTTCCTTTACTTATCATTTATTTTTTTCCAAAACGTTTTTTTTTTTTGTTAACTTTCATACAATACCACAGAAGTCTGTCGCGACGTTGAACTGACTAAAGCCTGGCCAATAGGTTTCAGTGCTTTAGGAAATTGTTATCCATCGTTGTGATGCCCACAATGCACCCACAATAACAACAGGTGCCAAAACAATCACCTTTCATTTTCTAAACTATAGTAATCTTTTGTTTTTATGCATATCAATTCATGTTCTCCCAAACAGTGTTTTGTTTGTTTCCAGAAATTACCCTACATACTGTACATTGAGGTAAATTACATAAAAATGTAGAATAAAGATAGTTTTTCATAATTTCCATGTTGTTCTTGTTGTTTATATCTTACTACTGTGCGAGGCTGGATTACCAACCGGGTGCAGCGGGCGATTTCCAGCCTCCATTGTGGCTGTTAGCTGGTGACAATTGAATTAATTGCTGATTTGTTTGATAATAAAATATTCTCCATTAAAGCACAATATAAACTAAAGTAAAAAGGTATTTAGCGCAACACTGCATTGTTACGTAACATGCTACACTTGAATAATTGCTACTTTCTAACACAGTGTATGGAAACTGTGAAGAATGAGGGTCAGTAGAGGCCCATGGCTCATTTCAAGTTAATCCGGCCCTGGGCGCCGGGTTAGTTTACTTGGTAGAGCTAGTGACCATGGACAGAGTCCTGCAGCGACCCAGGGTTGGAATCTGACCTGTGGCCCTTTGCTGCGTGTCATACCCTCTCTCTCTACCCCCCTTTCCTGTCTATCTCCAGCTGTCACTGTCAAATAAAAGGAAATAAAAATAACTTGTAAAATAACTACGACCCTGCAGCTACAGACCGAGAGACTTTTGTAAAATGATGAAGCGGTAACGTTGCCCAGATGAAAGGACAAGTTGGATGTGGATATTTCTACAAGTTGATGTTTTCATTGTCCTAAGACTTATGAAACGACTGATGGTAGACATGCACTGTGTCTCATGGAGGTTCACACACAGTTCATGAACAGTAATGACAAATCGCTGTAACTCTCCACAGTGTCAAGCTAATCAGTGTGGAATAATGTTTCCAACCTTAAAGCTAGATGTTGAAGTGAGACTATGTAACTTTTGTTGAAAAATTAGCCACTTTGGTTACAATTGAGAATAATTATAGTCGTATGCAAAAATGGAAATGCTTAAATGTCAGCAATATCTATCTTCAGGTTGCTAAGATTAGCCACCACAAGCTACTGGCCATGTAAGACTTTCGCAGCAAAATCCCTGAGTGAGTTGTATTGAGCAAGTGTGTTTTCTGTTGATTATGAGTTGAACTTATTGTTTGTAACAGGAAGAATATGTTTTTGCTTCTTTAAAAAATTGAACTGGACTTTAAAGTGCTACAGCGCTGCAAATTGGATCATTAGAAGCGAGTCGTAATCAAAGTAAACGGTCTCCTGGGTTTCATTAACTCACTGGCAGTAGAGTGGAAGACATTATTGTGTAATGGTTTGTCACACTTTTACAGTACAGGTCATGTTTACACATCAGGAGGGAGCATGTGCTGCTGCTGCTGCTGCATTTCCTGACTCAGCATTTGGCCTCAGTCAGTACAGCAAAGTTACTAAACTCAGAAAATGATAGCCAACAAATCAAACAAATATAAATAAATCTTTATATTGCATAAATGTATGTTGGATTAAAATAATGTTATTACTAATGAATAATGCAAAGTATTTGATTTATATTCCCTTATATTCTATTAGCAGCCTCTTGCTTCACTGTAGGTTTAAAGCAACACTATGTAACTGAACAGCAGCCACTGTGGCCAAAAAATAGTGAATGTTATGAAATATTATGAAAGTAAAACATACAGAGAAGACTCATTAAGTCAACAAATTGACTCAGTGACAGCTATACTGCAATATCTAAGGTTTGCCAACAGTGGCTCAGATTAGCCATCACAAGCTCAAAAGAAACCTTTCACCCACTATAAGTCCCACTATAATTGCTGTATTTAAACTACTCTGGTATTAAGAAAGAACGTATACTGAGCAACTGGCCGTTTTTATTAAAGAAAGAATACCAAAAGCCTCATAAGAAAACATTTAGAAGCAGCGGATTGAGTACATTGAGCCACCAACTGTCTGTCTGTTAATCATTCACTTTTTTATTAAACCACCAGCTGGTGGAGGCAATGGGAATGTTTTCTTCAGGAAGAAGAAGCATTATGGACAGCATATGGGTACAGTAGCAGCATTGGGATGGACAGGAGACCAGTTAAACACAGGCCTGCAAAGCATTCACATAATGGAAGGATGGTAATCTGTGTTCAGTATGTAGTATGGAGTGTGTCAGATGGAAAAAAAAGATAGTATGTGTGTGTTAAGTGGTGTATAACAGAATATTGAAATAACCCAGTCCCAGCTGATCCTTCCCCCCCAGTGTTTCCTGTTGTGCGTTTGGATTTTTGCTTCTTGTTCTCCTGTCAGGCACTGAGATCCACCGGCTTGTAAAGCAAAGCAGAGTACGAATGTCACAAGCACAAGTTTACAATCTGATCATCATTCATTGCTTTATCTCTGGAGTGATTGTCCCTGCAGAGCAGAGCGGGCCTGCTGCATAGGAGCATTTTCAAGTAAACAATAAACAACAGCGAACACAGCTGCAAACTATGTAGACGTACTCTGTGTCTGGTTATACAACCGAGACGCCCCTCATGGCTGAACAGATGGAAGGGCTGTTTGTCCGTGTGTGCTGTTTTCAGAGGCTGTCACATGTGGAAACAGCGACCACCAGTGGTTACAAATGGCAACTGAATATTAAAGAAAAGGCATTCAGCTTTAGGACACTGATGTTGCCTGTAAGGTGGCAAGAAAATTGCCAGCATACAGTACATAATGTTAATGAACAGGCCTGAAAGTGAAATCAAAGTAATGTCATAGTTAAAGAGTTAAAATCTACGCCCCTACAGATATGAAGTAAACAGAACAATTCTACACGAAGACTTATATAGGAAAAATTTCAAGCACACATACAGTATCTTAAAACTCATTCCTGTCTTTATGAGGTAAAACAATAAGGGCAAGAAGGTACTAAAGCAAATAAACAAAACAAAACAAAAAAAGTCTTTGAGGAATAGTTTGACATTTACACTGATTTGCTTTCTTGCCAAGAGAAGATTGACACCACTGTCATGGATGTAGAACTATAAAGCTGGAGCCAGGAGACATTAAATCTGTTTGACTGAAAAAAACATGGAGAAACAACTAACTTAGTTCTGGCTGAAGATAAAAAAACATAGCTTGCTATTTACTCTATGAAATCCATGAAATAGCGGGTTATAACCAACCGTAAAAATCACAACAAGAGCCAGTTCGCTGTTTCCATTTTTGATGCTAAGCTAAGCTAACCAGCTGCTGGCTCTAGACTGTACATTTAGCGCAGAGTTACGAGAGTGGCATCGATCTTCTCGTCTAACTCTCAGCAAGAATGCAAATTAGCGTATTTCCCAAAATGTCAAACTATTCTTTAATTATGTGTTCTTGAACTTGTGAAAGAAAAAAACATATATGGCTACAGTGTTTCTAAGATAAAATGAAATCAATATAAATATCTCTCTTTAATAGCAGCCAACATCGGTGAAGAATATTTTAGATTTTGATCTGAAGTTCGACCACACGAGATAATTATTTAAACATGGATTATAATTTTTACGTTGTGTGGGGGGAGGCCAAAACAAGTCTTAAAGTCTCTTTCACATTCACTGCCGTTCCAAAAATTAGCCTTTTATGAACTTGAACCACCGGGCTATGTTCTGGTAGACAAAAACAATGCCAAATAGGCACACGGTGCAACAAGAAAAATAAAAGAAAAGAAAACTGTAACACATAAACAGTGGAAAAGCATAGGTGTGTATCATTCATGGACATGTTTAATGTCGAGGTTACTTTTTGTGACGTTGATGATGCTCAACATGTTAGATGAGGTCATTAATACTGTGCAATTATCAAGTTTGATTATGCGTAAAATTGGCACAAAAAAAAAAAAAAGACACATAACCTCCACAGGCATAGGTGTTGGCACTTTCACACACCCAGTAACCCACCCCCCTCCTGGGGTGGTGGGTGGGGTTACTGGGGTGTGTGAAAGTGCCAACACCTATGCGCTGTGGAAGGTTAGTGGTGTCTCTTTTATTTTTTATCTTGTGCCAATTCTTTACGCATAATCCAACTGAATAAATTGCAGCAGTGATTCAATGACCTCATCCCCTAACCATGGTTGAGGGCATGCCAAATCCAACGTCCACAAAAAGTAACCTCGCGACATCTCAAACATGTCCCGCATCGAATGATCACACACCTATTGCTTTTCCCACCCTGTTTATGTGTTACAGTTTTCTTTTCTTTTATTTTTCTTGTTGCACCGTGTGCCTATTTGGCATTGTTTTTGTCTACCAGAACATAGCCCGGTGGTTCAAGTTCATAAAAGGCTAATTTTTGGAACGGCAGTGAATGTGAAAGAGACTTTAAGACTTGTTTTGGCCTCCCCCCACACAACGTAAAAATTATAATCCATGTTTAAATAATTATCTCGTGTGGTCGAACTTCAGCATCAAACATCTAAAAAAATATTCTTCAACCGTGTTGGCTGCTTTAAAGAAGAGATGATTTATGATTGATTCATTTTATCTTACGAAAGCACTGTAGCCCCATATATGTTTTTCTCCTTTCCAACGAAGCTTCAAGAAAGCACCAC